CCTGTCAGCAGCCAGACTTAACACTGTGACAGCCCAGTCATTGGACATAGTGAGTTTAATTTCAGGATTTTTAAAAATTGCCATACTTAGAGAAATTCACTCTCTTGATGCTCCCAACTCCTCAATTTTAATCTTTGACATTCCTCTCCCTCTCTCTCTCTCTTTCATTTTCAGCACCAAGGCTGAGCATGTTCCTGACTTGGCCAGAGGACCATACAGAGTCCATACAGATGACCTCATGTAGCTTTATCCTTGGCTAGCCATAGTCATGTCAGCCACTATTCATGGCAGGGTAACTGTGGGCAGCAGTGGAAATGGTTTGAAGCTGCCTAGCTCTGCCCTCATGAGTCAGCAGGTATCTTCTCCATAGCCTGAGATGGAGCTAAACTCCAGTGAGTAGAGTCCAGCAGTATTAGGAGTGTCCACCTGTCCTCTTAGGATCAAAGACTTGCCTTTCTGGTTCAGGCCTAACCATCTCTATGACCTTAAGCACTTCCTTCACTTCTCTGGGGCTCAGCTTCCTCATCCATTAGGTAAAGAATATGGATCCCTGCCCTATCTTCCTCCTGTGAAATGGCTAGAAATAGTATTTTGAAAAATGTAAAGTAAGGTGCCAAAATGGTTGTTATTATTACTGGCATTGTCTTTGCAGTTTGAATTACCAAAGTGACAAACTTTTACTGCCTTCATGCTCAGTCTGAGATCCTGTGCTAGATGCTATAGATATAAGCATTGATGTGCCAGAGCCAGCTGATTACCAGCTCTCAAGAGCTGATTGTGCACATATTTTCCTAACTCTACATTCAAAAACATCACATTGGTACATTTAAATTGGCTATGGTGGGAATAATTTACACTATGGAAATAAGAAAACACTATAAATCAGGGCCATTTATTTATTTCAGAAATCCAGACCCATCTCAGCCACAAGGGAGTTGCCAATCTAGCAGTGGTGTGTGTGTGTGTGTGTGTGTGTGTGTGTGTGTGTGTGTGTGTGTGTGTGATGCATACATGCTGGCAGTAAAATAAGCAGGCACATGACTACAATAGATAAAAGTATTAAGTTGAACCCTGTGATATTGATTTTTGTGCCAGTCAAAACTAGCCTAGTTTGGCAATTGCATGTGGTTCAACCCAACAGCAGAGAAGAGTACCTGGAATGAAAGAGGTTTTCCTAAGGCCCCTCAGATTATCTGAGGCTGAGCTGCAGTTAGGCTCCAAGACTTCTGGTTCCTTGTTTTAACCCTGAAGGGTCCATTACCACTCTTTTGTCCTCTGATTACTTGTCAAAATGGAGGAGGCTCTGACATGGGAACTGTAACACTGATGGAGTTGGGTAATCACAGCTCTTTTGTCTGTTTGTCTCTTCTAAGTTAAAGGTTAGAATTCAGACAATATCTTTACGTCTTAGTCTCATTGTCCCAACTCGCTCTCTCTTTCCCTCTCTCTCTTTCTCCCTCCCTCCACTCCACCCTCACCAGTCTGCCTGTGTTATGCATTCAGAGAGTGCCAGAGATTAGAGCATGTCCAGAGGAGAGCAAAGGAAAATGAATATAACAGTTGGAAATAGGATCTATGAGGAAATGTGAAAGGAATTTTGTCTTGAGAAAAGAAGTCTGCCTGTCAACAAAATAATAGTCTTCATAGGTCCCCCTCACCCCAAATAAGTAGGTAACCCAGACATGACATTTCCTGACTGTCACCAAGCAACAGAAGGCAGCCCAGGAAGGCTCAATCCTCCCACAGATAAACCAGATGTCTCAACATCAGGTGATTCTCACAGCACAGGTAAAGTGTATTGAATGGGAGCTATACTGATAATGAGCAGGCAAAGGAATCATCCTTTTACTCTGCCAGTCCTGAGATTCCCCTCTCCCCCTGAGATACACCGGATAACTAGGTGACACCAAGAGGTGTCCCACCCAAACAGCCCTGCCTAGGAAGTGCTCATCCTCTCCACAAGACAGTGACTCTTTTGCCCTAACCTACATTCAACCAGGCAGCCTGTCCTGGGGGAAACTCCCTCCTCTCCTTAGGCAGCGTCAGCAGAAACAAGTGGAGGCTCAAGCAGCATCAGTTAGATTAGACTAAAAGAGCATGATAAAAACCATAAAAAAGGCCGGGCGCGGTGGCTCACATCTGTAATCCTAGCTCTCTGGGAGGCCGAGGCGGGCAGATTGCTCGAGATCAGGAGTTCAAAACCAGCCTGAGCAAGAGCGAGACCCCGTCTCTACTATAAATAGAAAGAAATTAATTGGCCAACTAATATATATAGAAAAAATTAGCCGGGCATGGTGGTGCATGCCTGTAGTCCCAGCTACTCGGGAGGCTGAGGCAGAAGGATTGCTTGAGCCCAGGAGTTTGAGGTTGCTGTGAGCTAGGCTGACGCCACGGCACTCACTCTAGCCTGGGCAACAAAGTGAGACTCTGTCTCAAAAAATAAAAATAAAAATAAACCATAAAAAAATTAAATTGTCATTGAAACCACAGTCTACAAAAGTAGGCCAGAACCTGCCTGCTAAACCTAAACAGGGGGTAACTCTCTGTTAAAATAAAAGATCTATATAGGAGCCAGAGCCCCCTAACATAATATACAAAAAAAATCACCCATCATAACAATAACCAGGAAAATCAAACTTATAAATGCCTCTGCAAAGAAACCAGTTGGGATTTTAAAAGGGATTGCATCAATCTGTAGATCATTTGGGGGAGTCTATTTTGTCTCATAATAGCATAGCCATTCCATCTTTCTTTTGATTATTGTTTACATGATATACCTTTTCCAATCTTTTACTTTAAACCCATTTGTCTTTGAATATCAAGTGTCTCTTAGAGACAGTATGTGTATCATGTTATTTTTACCAAATATGTAAGTATCTTCCTTTTAATCTGAAAGTTTAAATGCATTATGCATTTACATGTAATGTAATTATGGATAAGGTAGGATTTATGCCTGCCATTTTGCTATTTGTTTTTATGTGTCTTATGTCTTTTTGTTCCTCCATTACTGCATTCTTTTGTGTTAAATAGATATTTTCTTAAGCACCATTTTCATTACCATGTTGTTTCTTTCACAACATTTTTTGGTTTTATTTTGTTAGTAGTTTCCCTGAGGATTATAAATAATATCTTAATATATAGCAATCTAATTTGTATTATTAATAATACTAACTTTATTTTAACAATATACATAACATTGCTTGTATATCACTCTGTCCCTCTATTATTTTGCCATTATTGTCACCAATAACATCTTTATACATGTACTCATGATCATAGATTTATAATTATTGTTTTTTGTAGTTGTATTTAAAGTCACATAGTAGTAAAAATGAGTTATCAACAAAAATGCATTTATACTGTCTTTCATATTTACCTATATAAATATGAAGCTCTAGAATATTGGTTCCTTTTTTATAATTTGAGCTCTTTATTGATATTTGATTAAAAAATCATTTTCATAGTTTCTTTTAGTTCTTTAAACATGCTTTCCTTTAGTTCTTTGAACATATTTAAAATAATGTATTTACAAGGAGGAATGGATACTTCCAAACTCTCCGAGGCCTGTATCATCCTGATACCAAAATCAAACAAAGACACAGCAACAACAAAAAATAAAACTATAGTCCAATATCTCTGATGAACATAGATGCAAGAATACTCAACAAAATTCTAGCAAACCCAAGTCAACAATACATTAAAGAGAGTATTCATCATGATCAAGTGGGATTCATCCCAGGGAGGCAAGGATGATTCAACATACAAAAATAATGAATTTAAAGTATTTGTCTACTAAGTTCCATGTCTGGGTTTCCACAGGGACAGCTTCTATTGATTGCTTTTTATCCTGTGTATGGACCATAATTTCCTACGTTTTTGCATATCTCATAATTTTATAATTTAAAACTTTATATTTTAAATACTAAAAAGTGGCAACTCTGGAAATCAAATTTTTCCTTGCTTCCCAATGTTTGCTGTTGTTGCTGCTTATTGTAATTGTTGTTTTTTGTTACTTTTGTAAATTTCATGAATTAATTCTGTAAAGTTTGTATACTTTGTGTGTGGCCACTAAAGTCTCTGCTAAGTTAGCTAAGTGGTCAGCTAATGATTGTATAGCTATTTCCTTAAATGCCTGGAACAGATAAATCTCCTAGTCTGCTGAGGAACATATGTGTTTGGAGAATTCAGCCAGGCAATTTGCAGCTCTGCACTCAGCCAGGTAATTTCAACTATACCTTAGCTTTATTTTCCTATTTTTGAAGAGCTGCAAGGTCAGCCAGAAGTGAGAGCTTAAGGCCTTCTCAAGTCTTTCCTGAGTATGCACACATCCCTAGGCATGTGTTACGGCCTTTCAGATTTCTAGGAATATTTTGGAGCTTTTCTAAGTACCTATGTACATCTTATTCCTCAGCTTTTCTTTTTAATATATTTTTTAGTCTACTATTTGTCCCAGACATTATCAGTTGACTTAAGCACCTGCAAATTTAAAGCACTTTCCTATAATTGTTTTCAATAAACACCCCCTTCTCCCAGAGAGAGGGCTTTTATCACTGGGCAAAATCTGAGTCAGGCTCATAGAGGGTTTTACCAGGAAACCACCAGAAAGTTCAGATAATGACAATTCTTTTGGAATAAGGCTTCGAAAGAGCTACAGCTCCATTCTTTCCCCTCTAATGGCTGACTAGCTGCCCAAGAAAGTGGGACATTATTTTTCTAAAGTTACTCCATAACTGGAGAGTGAGGGATGGGACTAGAGCAAGTTAAAAGACCACAAAGTTCACTGTTTTTCCCTAGTTCAGTCATATTTATTGAGTAAACACTACCAGATTTCTGCAAGCTTTAGTTAACTTCTAGTACGTTTAAAAAGTTGATTCTGACAATTTTTATCAGGTTTTATACTACTTTTATGGAGGGAGAAATTTTTGGAGGTTCTTATCGCACCATTTTCACTGACATCATCCTATGCAATTGATTTTAAAATTGGTTAAGAGTCTCTTTCCGTGCTTAGTGCAGCCATGGCCCGCGGTCCCAAGAAGCATCTGAAGCGTGTAGCCGCTCCAAAGCATTGGATGCCGGATAAGCTGACCGGTGTGTTTGCTCCTTGTCCATCCACCGGTCCCCACAAGCTGAGACAGTGTCTCCCACTCATCATTTTCCTAAGAAACAGGCTTAAGCATGCCCTGACAGGAGATGAAGTGAAGAAGATCTGCATGCAGCGCTTCATTAAAATTGATGGCAAGGTCCGAACTGATATAACCTACCCTGCTGGATTTATGGATGTCATCAGCATTGACAAGACTGGAGAGAATTTCCGTCTGATTTATGACACCAAGGGTCGCTTTGCTGTTCATCGTATCACACCTGAGGAGGCCAAGTACAAGTTGTGCAAAGTGAGAAAAATCTTTGTGGGCACAAAAGGAATCCCTCATCTGGTGACTCATGATGCTCGTACCATCCGCTATCCTGATCCACTCATCAAAGTGAATGACACCATTCAGATTGATTTGGAGACTGGCAAGATTACTGATTTCATCAAGTTTGACACTGGTAACCTGTGCATGGTGACTGGAGGCGCTAACCTGGGAAGAATTGGTGTGATCACCAACAGAGAAAGACATCCCAGGTCTTTTGATGTGGTTCACGTGAAAGATGCCAATGGCAACAGCTTTGCCACTTGCCTCTCCAACATTTTCGTTATTGGCAAAGGCAACAAACCATGGATTTCTCTTCCTCGAGGAAAAGGTATCCGCCTCACCATTGCTAAAGAGAGGGATAAGAGACTGGCAGCCAAACAGAGCAGTGGTGAAATGGTCTCCATGTAACATAACAACATGTTAAAAAGTTATTTGTACTTAATTAAAGATATTACAGTGTGAAAAAAAATAAAATAAAATTGGTTAAGAGAAGAAACAATAAATAAATATATAATTATACAATTATACTATTACCATTACCTATATAATTACATTTATTGAAGCTGTCTATTTTTCATGTGGATCCAAATTACTATCTAATGTAACTTTTTTCAGCCTCAAGAATGTCCTTTAGTGTTTCCTGTAAGGCATGTCTTCTAGCAATGAATTTTTTCAGTTTTTATTTATCTGGGAATTTCTTCTTCATTTTTGAGGGATAACTTTGCCATAATACGATTCTTACTTGACAATATTTTTTTTTTTCTTTCTGCACTTAGACAAAGTCATTCCACTGCCTCCACTATTTCTGATGAGAACTCAGCTATTAATCATATTGGTTTCTTTTTGGGGGGATTTACTGTTTTATTAATTTTATTAATTTAATTATTTAATTAATTCAATTCTTTATTAATTGTTTGATTTATTTATTAATTTATTTATTAATTGTGTTAGCGGTCTGTACCACTAATACATCATCTATTAACAAAGTAATAATTTATGAAGTAAATATAAGATGATTACCAAAAACCTTTAAGTTGACTTTCTCATAATTTTAACGTAAAACAGGACTATAAGCATCTTTTCCTAATAGGTTAATGTAGAATTCAAGATTTTTTAGTCCTCTATTAATTCATATTGATAATTAGACCAAATTTTAGATTATAGTAATTTTGCCTTGATAAACATAGTAAGCATTGTATAATATGAATTTAGGCTTACAGAAAGGTTTTTAATCATATTGGTTTCTTATATGTGGTAAGTCATTTTTCTCATGATGTTTTCAAGATTATTTCTTTGCCTTTGATTTTGGCAGTTTGGTTATGATATGTCTATGTGTGAAGTTTTTTGAGTTTATCCTAGTTGAAGTTCGCTGAGCATATTGGATGTGTAAATTAATGTTTTCCATCAAAACTGGGATAATTTCAGCTATTATTTCTTCAAATATTCTTTGTTTTCCTTTCTTTCTATCCTGTCCTTCTGGGACTCCCATTGTATGTACCTTTGTCGGTGACCCACAGGCCTATTTATTCTTCGTCATCCTTTTCTCTTTCTGTTCCTCAGACTAGATCATCTTAAAAGACCTATCTTTAAGTTCACTGAATCTTTCTTCTGTCAAATCAAATGTTTTTTGAACATATCTAATTAATTTTTCATTTTAGTTAACTTTTCAACATCGAAATTTTTATTTAGTTTTTATTATATTTTCATTCGCTTTACTAATAGTCCTTGTTTAACGAGAAACTATTCCCTTGCTTTCTTTAGTTCTTTAGAAATGTTTTCTTTAGTTCTTTGAACATATTCAAAATAGCTCATTTTAAGTCTTCACCTAATAATCCCAACGTCTTTCCTTAAGGGAAGTTTCTATGGAATACTTCCACCTCTCCTTTAGGTCATACTTGTTTCTTTGCATGGGTCATAATTTTTTGTTGAAAAATTGACCTTTTAAGTAATATAATGTGGCAACTAGGAAATTCAGATTCTCTTTTCCTTAGAGTATGTTTTTTTGTTTTCTACTTGTTACTTTTTGTTTGCTTGGTGACTTTCCTCAACTAACTCTGTAAATTCTGCATTTTTTGACATGTGTGGTCACTAAAGTCTCTGGTTAACTGAGTGGTCAACTAATAATTGGACAGAGATATACTTAAGTATCTGGAACCAATAAGTTTTTCAGCTCTTGCCAAGGAGTTCAGTGTATATATAGAAGTAACACTTCAACATTCAGGCAAGCAGTATACAACTCTGCCTCAGCCTTCACTGCCAGTTTTTACACAGCCTTAAAAGTCAGCCAGAAGTGAAAAATTAGGCCATTTTCATGTCTTTCCAGTCAAATACAGAATAAAGCATCATACATGAAATAGTGGATAGGAAAAAAATTGAGAAAAGTAAATAAAACACAATGTTTGTTCTTTGAAGAAGGGAAAAAAATTGGCAAACCTGTACATCAAGTGACCAAAAAAAAAAAAAATAGAGAAGACTTGAATGACTAAAATCAAGAATAAAGGAGGAGATATTACTACTGATTTTACAGCAATAAAAAGGATTATAAGGGGCTGAGTGTGGTGGCTCACGCCTCCAATCCTAGCACTTTGGGAGGCTGAGGCGGCAGGATTGTTTGAGGTCAAGAGTTTGAGATCAACCTGAGCAACAGAGAGACCCCCATTTCTACTAAAAATAGAAAAAATAGCCAGGTGTGTTGGTGTGTGCCTGTAGTCCCAGCTACTTGGGATGCTAAGGCAGGAGGATCGCTTGAGCCCAGGAGTTTGAGGTTGCAGTGACCTATGATGACACCACTGTGCTGTAGCCCAGGTGACAGAGCAAGACCTTGTCACCAAAAAAAAAAAAAAGAAAAGAAAAAGATTATAAAGGAGTACTATGAACAATTGTATGCCAACAACTTAGATAACCTAGAGAAGATGTAAAATTTTGCATGAAGACACAATCTATCAAAAATGACTCAGAAAAAATAGAAAATGTGAATAGATCTATTATAAGTAAAGAGATTGAATAGCAATCTAAAATCTTCTCACAAAGAAAAGTCAAGGATGAGATGACTTTGTTAGTGAATTCTACCAACAGTTTAAAGAATTAATATCAATTTTTTACAACTTTTCCAATAAAATAGGAGGGAACACTTCCCAACTCATTCTATGGGGCCAGTATTACTCTGATAACAAAACTAAACAATGACAAAGATATCACAAGAAAATAAAACTGCATATTAATATCCCTTATGAATATAGATGCAAAAATTCTCAACAAAAATGCTAGCAGGCAAAATCCAGTACTTATAAAAGATTATATACCATGTCAAAGGTGAGATTTATTCCAGGAATGAGAGGTTGGTTCCACATATGAAAATAAAACAATGCAATGCACCATATAATAAAGAATAAAAACCACAATGATCATCGCAATAGACACAGAAAAAAAATTGACAAAATCCAACACCTTTTCATGATAAAAACATTCAACAAACTAGGAATAGAAAGAAACTTCCTCAACCTGATGAAGGGCATCTACAAAAAACCCACAGCTAACATAATACTTAATGGTGAAATAATGAAAGCTTTCCAAGCAAAATCAGGAACAAGCAAGAATGTCCATTATTGTTACTTCTACTCAACACTATACTTAAGATTCTAGCCAAGGCAGTTAAACAAGAAAAAGAAGTAAAATGTCTTAATATTAGAAAGTAAGAAGTAAAAATATTTCTATTGACAAAGGACATCATCTTGTATATAGAAAATCTTAAGGAATCCACCAAAAAAAAAAAAATCAGAGCTGATAAATTAGCTCAGCAATGTTGGAGGCTACAAGATTAATATACAAAAATCAATTACATACACTATGCACTAGCAGTGAAAAATCTGAAAAAAATTAAATTCCATTTGTAAAGCATCAAAATTAAAATACTTAGGAATAGATTTAAGCAAAGAAGTGCAAGATTTGTACTCTGAAGCTACAGAAAGTTTGTTGATAGAATTTAAAGACAAGAATAAATGGAAAGAAATCTCATGTGTATGGATTGGACAACTTAATATGGTTAAGATCACAATAATCCCCAATTTATAGATTTTATACAGTTTCTATTAAAATTTCAGCTAGGTTTGTCTTGTATTTTCTTTTTTGTTTTATTTTGCAGAAATGGACAAGCTGATCCTAAAATTCACATGAAAATGAAAGGGACCCAGATAAATCAAAAGAGTCTTGAAAGAGAAAATCAAATTTGGAGAACCCATATTCCCAATGTCAAATCTTACTACAAAACTACAGTAATCAAGCCCATTTGGTACTGACATAAAGATAGATATACAGATAAATGGAATAGAATTGAGAGTCCATAAATAAAACCTCACATTATCAGTCAATTAATTTTTGATAAGGATGTCAAGACATTTTAATGGTGGAAAGAATAGTTTTTTTTAACTATTGGTGCTGAGTAAACTGGATTTCCACAGGCAAAAGAATAAGTTTGGACCGTTACTTCACACCATATACAAAATTAACTCAAAATAGATTAGAGAACTAAATGTAAAAGCTAAAACTATAAAATTCTTATAAAAAATAGGATCATACTGACTCTACTTTAGAAATAATATTATGGTAACTTCTGATGCTTACTGATCACTTCCTATGTTCTACATAAATGTATATCTAAGCAAAAAAAAACCATAGGAGTAATTTTCTTTTTTTTTAATTTTTTTACTTTTACATCAGAGTCTCACTCTGTCTCCCTGGCTAGAGTGCCATGGCATCAGCCTAGCTCACAGCAACCTTAAACTCCTGGGCTCAAGTGATCCTCCTGCCTCAGCCACCTGAATAGCTCGGACTATAGGCATGCACCACCATGCCTGGATAATTTTTTCTATTTTTTAGTAGAGTCAGATAATTTTTTTCTATTTTTAGTAGAGATGGTGTCTCACTCTTGCTCAAGCTGGTCTTGAACTCCTCACATCAAGCCATCCTCCTGCCTCAGCCTTCCAGAGTGCTGGGATTACAGGCATTAGCCACTGCGGCTGGTCAGGAGTAAATCTTTATGACCTTAGATTGGTCAATATTTTTTATATAGGATGCTAAAAGAACAAACAAAAAAGAAAAAATAGACTAATTAAACTTCATCAAAATTAAAAAATGTCCATCAAAAGCACTGTCAAGAAAGAAAATGGGCAGAAAAGACAGATTCTAGCAGAAACTAGAGGAAAGAAGCAAGAAGACGAGCATACAGCGGACAAGGGCCGGAAGGAGGGGTACCTGAGACCCCGGGAGACTCCACGGGAGGAGGCTGCGGAGGAGAACTGGAGGCTGAGACCACCAGAGCAGCCCGGAGACCAGCAGCAAGGGTAGGTGAATTCCCTGTTTCCCCTCCCTTGCATTCAGGACTGCTGGTAGGCTCCCCAGAGGGTGGAGAGACCTGCGACACCAGCCAGAGATCGCCGCCGCCTGCCAACGGTGAGCCTGTAGGGCAACGTGGCACCAGTTC